TACTTCATATCTCAAATATTTATTATATATTTAAGATTGCAATATTTGTTATCCCTAACCTATGACCCTTGGCAGCCCTTACCTATTTATTAACAGTTCTATCAAAAATTAGTTTCTTATAATGCAATTTCATAAAAATTCGTTACGTAAATTATTCAGTTCCTTTTATTTTATCAGTTAGTTTCAGTTTGTGTTTTCCACGACGAAGACGGTGGCACGTATTCAAGAAATAATTGACCATTAACTCGCATCGTTTAATGTCTAGACAAAACGTGAGAGATATTAGATGAAAATTATAGATTTTGCAGTTAACGTATCCCTTAATAAACGTTTGCGAATGCTTTTGTCATTAGTAATGGATTTAAAGATGGAAAAATATAATTATTGAATTCTGAAATGATTATTTACCATACATGCATAGAAGAAAATAAATTCACTGCATAATCAGGGTAATACTTAATTTAAAAAAAAAAGTTTGCATAGTAAAGGACGTCAAGCGTTCTGTTTAAATTTAATTTTTTTTTAAATTGAAGATTTTTACATATCACAGCAGTATTAAAATTTTGATGCTATTGGGTTCCAAGGAGTAAGATATTTCTATCACAGCACTTTGTCTTTTGCAGAGAGTGTTTTAAGAAGAACAATTCCTTTTTTTAAATTAAAAGTTGATAAAGTGAAAAATTAGTTTTAGTATTTCTTTTGTAGAAAATAGATAGTTCTGTTTATCATAATATATTAATAACCGGGTGACTAAGCCCCCTGTTCGCTGCCGCTCACCAACCCCAATAATTGCTTCGCAATAATTGCTGTTTCTTGGCAGTAAACAGTTTTTTTTTGCGTAAGTTGAAATTATTCACTTAACATCTATATACAGTACAGAACCCGCTATCGGGAAATCAGAAAACCGGAAAACCAAAAAACAGGAACGAAATTCGATAAATTTTCTCGCCATTTTTTAAAAAAAAAATTTTTTTTTCCTCATAAAATTTTGGGATTTTTTTTTTTAAAATATGTTTACCCTACCATCATTTTATAAATAATCATTAGTGTATTACTTCATCGTTTTTTCTTCTTTTTAAGATTATTTCCAAATACTTTTTTTTTAAGTTGGGTTTAACAATAAAAAAAACGGCTTTTTGTAGCGACTCAGAAAACCGGAAAAATCAGTTATCCGGAATAGCGATGATCCCGATCATTCCGGATAATGGGTTCCCTACTGTACTAAAAAGAATTATGTTTGCCTACGTTCGTGCTTCCACTTCTCTCGTTCAAATATTATTATCTCTTAGTATTATCATTATTTAGATCTATTGGAGAACATAAGTAATCATTTTTTTAAAATGACATTTATACTATTATAACATTAAACATTGTATAACATTATATTTTACCGACAAATTTGGAAAGTTCACAACCGTAATAAACAAAATTGATATTTAATATATCCACCCGTTTGGTAAGCGAAAATACGCTTACCAAACGGGTGGATATATTAAATATGAATTTTGTTTGCACCACTTTCTGAATGAAGCTGATCCGTTAAGTTCTAAATCACTAAACGAATCTCTATAACTCTAATTTATAACAAAATATTTTATTTTATAACCCTCGTTGTACAGCTGACCCAATTGTTTTGGATTTACGACTACGAATGACTCCGTAGACTTGTCATTTTGTACCCAATCCAGAAGACAAGGGAATTCCTGGTTTAAGTATTGGGAGAAATTTTGCCTTCGTGGAGGACTTTTCGATGGAATTTACCCTCATTTGAGTTACATGGAGAGGAAAACCACGAAAACCTCCCATGGTTAGTTTGATGGCAAGAGGACTCTAACCCATGATCCGTCTGTCATTGAGGATATTTTAAGTCAGCACTGTGTGTAGCGTATCTACCATTACAAAATTACAATTCACTAGTATATAAGACATGTTAACTCGACTCTATGTTGGGGTACCTTTTCATAGATGAAGGTTGACATGGTCTGTAACTCCACCCCCCACATTGGTGACCTTCGGACGTGATGTGAACACGCCTACCTTGGCAAAAACGCCCACTTTGATCTGGATACGCCTACATCGGCAGTAACGCCTACTTCGTTGGATGGTCCACATTGAACAGTTGACTTGCTACTTGTGACTGCATCATTATCCACCTCCTCACGCAGTTGCTNCACGAATTTTATTAACATAATTTTCAATAAGACATGTTAACTCGACTCTATGTCGGGGTACCTTTTCATAGATGACGGTTGACATGGTCGATAACTACTCTCCCCACACTGTGGTCGGTGCAAATCGGATGCGGAATTCTTATCGACCAGCCATCGATGGGATTCGAACCCGGTTCAGCACATTTGAAGGCGAAAGCTCTATCCCCTGATCCATCACTTCTCATAACAATATATTAATGTTTTTCGCATGAAAAATAATATTTGTAAAACGGTTAATAAGATTAGACACCTATTTAAATAACTTTATTTTAAAATGTAGCGCAGCATTTCGTTAAAGTAATAATTTAAAAAAAAGGAATTCTCTTAGTTTTAAACTCTTAAATCAAAAGCGTAATCAGTACAAGAAAATACCTTTAAATTAAGGATACGAAATATTTATAGAATAACAATACTTTCATAACTTTTATTAATTTTATGCTGATGACAACCATATCAATACGAAAATAAATAAGGGAAATCTGGATCCTACCACGTGATTTTCCAGCCAGTAGAAATGCACCGACAACAATGGAAAATTGCGACACCATCATTTGATTTTTGTGCATAATTAAATATATATATTTATATTTGCGTCTGAAACTAAAGCACAATGCCTTTTCAAAGCTATAAATGTAGATAACAGAAGGAAAAATCAATTTGGTAGAGAAAACAATGAAAGTATTCATTTCTAACTAGTTAAATATTTTCTAGTTAAATATTCATTAGTTACGTATTGATTATAAATTAGTCAAATATTCCTTTTGTGAACTGTTAACTGAGCTTGAAACTAAAACGTAAATATTTTCCTCATTAAGGCCAAATCTTGCACTGAATATGATCAAAAACCGGTTCTAAAATGTGCGGAGGGGTTTCTAGAATACAGAAAGAAGAGCTAGAACCGATTGAATCTGTTTTCTTGCTTCCGAGATCACCTTACTTATGAGGTAAACATTCAAAGCGAAATAGTTTTTCAAATTCAAACCGAAAGACGCTCCATCGTATTTGCTTTGTGCATTATGTGTTGCAATATATTAATATATTGCACGAAAAGGAATCTTAACTCTAAATGGTAATTAAAGTTAAGCCCGGGTTAATTTGTCAAGCATAAAAAAATTAATAATTATTCTACTTATAGTCTTTGGACAAAATTGTTTGGTTATATTGTTCTTTCATGCTGAATAACTTCAAACATTCGTAGTGCTGTTTGTTATTTAGAGAATAATAAAGTGTTTTCATTGAAAATATTTTTGCTGACGAATGAAGGAGAGGTTTGGCTTTTAAGCACTGATTGAATAGATATTATGATGAATATATATGACGAATGTTTTTTTTAATAGTTAAATTTAGACTGTTATTCAAGCTTTTAAGCTATTTTTTAAGTCTTAACTTTTTCCCTCGTAGAATATAAAATAATTATCAGCTTTCTTTTCTTTCACCCCGAAAGCACAGAGACGAAAAAAATAATAATTCGCTTTGAATCTACTTTTGTTTCTTTGCAAAGAGGCGTTCTAACGATTTCCAAGTTTTAATTGTAGAGTGAGTGTTTTAGTGTTTTGTTTAAAATTTTAATTTTTGTCTTGTTATAATAATAGAAAGTGACTGAGCCGTGATGGCTCAGGGGATAAGGCGTTCGCCTTTCAATGAGGTGAACCAGGGTTCGATCCCGGCGATGGCTGATCGATACAAATTCCGCATCCGGCTTGCACCGACCACAGTGCTGACGTGAAATATCCTTAGTGGTAGACGGATCATGGGTTAGAGTCCCCTTGCCGTCAGACTAACCGTGGGAGATTTTCGTGGTTTTACTCTCCATGTAACGCAAATGAGGGTTAGTTCCATCAAAAAGTCCTCCGTGAAGGCAAATTTCTCCCAATACTTCATCCAGTCAAAATTACAAGGCTACGGAGTTGAGCATTAGTAGTCGTAAACACAAAAAATTGGATCGGCTGTTCAACGATGATTATAAAATAAGATATATTTGCAATTATTTTTATTTTATTTTCTTAATGATTCCGACATATACTCTACGAATGTCCCGCAACATGACTAGATAGCGGAAAATAGCTGATAAAATGTTGAATGAAATGAGCATAATAAATGAACCCTTATTTGTCACCTGAAGCAGTGTAGCAATATTTATTTATAATTAACAAATGGGTTTTCATACTTGCATTCTAATAATTGCATGCATTATATCCAACAGAATGTGTTTATTCCTCTAACATGCAAAGTTGGAAGTTTTTTTTTTTTTCTTTTTTTACATAACGGCAGGCACTGAACTTTTCGTTCTTCGCCATAGAAGATGGCGGCATTGTTACTCATTTAGCGTTACCCAGTGGGCACCTGTGAACCAAAGTAACGGAGGCGAGCAGCGTTACCCACCCCATACTGCCACAAACCCGTTCATAGGGTGGGCCACATTCACTCATTCACACAACAGAAGACAGCACAGAGAGCGAAACATCCATGCCCAGAGCGGGATTCGAACCCGCGGCCATTGGCTCCGCAGTCAGACACGCTAACCACTCTGCCACCTAGCCGGCGCAAAGTTGGAAGTATTTGAAACTATCAGGTACAGAATCTTTGAAAAATCATTTTATTTATACATAAATTCAAATTGTTAATTTTCCTTAAATTAACGCGTCAAAAGAGTTTGAAAAAAGTAATAAATATTGTTTAGAATAGTAACAACAATAATAACAGCATTTTTTGCTAACTAGTTTTACATTGATGTCTGTTTTATATGTCTAAGCTACGTCAAACAATTTCATAAGAAAATGACAAACTCACCCATTCATTACAATTATTTCGTCATGTTCGGGTGTTCCATCTGTTACTTTAAGATAGCTTGCAAGTAGTCCATATGTTGCTACAAATGAAAGAAAAAAACTTTTTAAGAACTGGATTATTTGGCGAGTTTTTCAGGGGTAAGGATTTTTTTTTAAATAAAAGCTTTTATAATTTCATCGGCAATTAAAAATATCGCATAATAATTTTACTAGGGAATAAATTGTTTGCTGCATTTATACAAGTACTTGATCTTACCTGATTAAGGGATATAAGATTTGGGCAAACCTGAAATTAGTTTTGTTCAGAAAGCTGCATATTTTATTCAAAATGACATTTTTAGTTAAGTTTATTTTCGTCTGAATGTACAATTTTATAAAGAACGAATAGATTTAGAAACATATGCTTGTCTACTCCTTTTAAAATATCACTTAAGAGAAAAAACATCTAACTATAACGTATGGCACCATAAGCAAAAATGTATTATCCCATTCTTCATACCATATTATGTATAATTGCACTATTAATACATCAAAAAAATATTTTTAACTATATTTATTAAACCAAAAAGGAAATTTTTAAGCGAACAGTTCTCTAGGAGCGGAAATAATTTTCTATAGAAAGAGTAAAAGCTCAGATTTATGTATTTATTTATTTGCTTTCAAAATACATTTGCTGAAAAAATTACCACGTAACAGAAAAATCATCTTGACAATATTGTTGTCTTAACAATAAGTAAATTATCTAAAAGAGAATCCTTTTAGCTGTCACTGATTAAATTAAATAACTACTTTTTCATTCATATTTTCAAAACACTACATACTTCAAAAGAATGTTGTTTATTAACATTACTTAATTTAAAATTAGTTCATAACAGAACAAACAGCAAATATACAAAATATTGTATTTGCTTGAAATAAGCTTTTATGTTTCAACGATGATTTTTTTTTAATTTAACGATGTTATTATCTTTAAATCTTGGAGATATTATCTATTTGAATACACAAAAGAGATTTTTTTTTCAAAACTAGTCAAAAACTGCTCTTAACTTAGGATACACTACAATGTAATCGAAAATATAAAAAAGAATAATATTTTATATCTTTTAATGACGAAAAATGTAAAGAATAATGATGTGTACCTTTTTAAGTCCGCCGAAATACCTTTCATCTAGAAAGATTTCCAATTTCGATAGAATTAGAGAAAGGGATTTAGTAATTCCCAAGAGAATTTTTCGAGAATGATTTTTGTAAAAGAGAAAAATAGGAACGTTATAAATTTCAACTCAGATTAATTATCCAAAGTGGTATTACAGTTGAAACCTTCAAATGAGTTTTTTTTTATTATTTTGTTTTCATTTCAATTGTTATGCAGAAAATGTCGCTTCAGAGAAGATTTTTCAACAAAAGAAAGCATTTCATTTTCAAACATTTGTATAATATTTCATAGTTATTTGAAATTATGTCTTTATTAATATTATAATATTTGAAAAGTAAATTTTTTATTTTAACTATCTTCTTATATCAGCTGAGTCTAAAGAAGTTAAATTTCATTCACATTCAAAATTTATTTTGTTGCAGATAGTAAGATTCATATTTCACAATTTATAAGATCAATTACTAATTATCTATTTATTAATAATGGTGGAATGTGTAACGCAATTTAAAAAAAAGTTAGAATCCTGTTCGCAGGAAGTTGAGATAATTAAAATTATCAAACTTTGCTTATTTGAATCAGAGATATACAAACTTTTTAGGTTAAGGGTCACGCTTTTTGTTTTATAAGAGCATATTCACCACAGAATGGTTTCTAGATGTCTCGTAAGCGTCTTTATTTATGAAACAAAAATTTAGGATGTAATTTAAGGCATTTTTTTAAAGTTAAGCTGGTTGTGCCATATCTTATCAATTTAGATTTATTTGTACTGATCACCGGTCTAGTGGTTACTGAACTGGAGTACAGGCCAGTAATTGTGGGTTCGAATCCAACCGTAGGCATGGATGTAACTTTCACTCCATGTGTTCTATGTCCTTTCTTCTGAGTGATTTTATAACCGTCGTTAAACAGCCGACCCACTTTTTTGGGTTTGCGACTACTAATGTTCAACTCCGTAGCCTTGTAATTTTGAACTCNCACCACGGAATGGTTTCTAGATGTCTCGTAAGCGTCTTTATTTATGAAACAAAAATTTAGGATGTAATTTAAGACATTTTTCTAAAGTTAAGCTGGTTGTGCCATTTCTTATCAATTTAGATTTATTTGTACTGATCACCGGTCTAGTGGTTACTGAAGTGGAGTACGGGCCAGTAATTGTGGGTTCGAATCCAACCGTAGGCATGGATGTAACTTTCACTCACTGTGTTCTAAGTCCTTTCTTCTGAGTGATTTTATAATCGTCGTTAAACAGCCGTCCCACTTTTTTGGGTTTGCGACTACTAATGTTCAACTCCGTAGCCTTGTATTTTTGAACTCAATCCAGAAGACAAGGGAACTCCTGGATCAAGTACTGGGAGAAATTTGCCTTCTTGTAGGATTTTTGATGGAACTAACCCGCATTTACGTTACATGGAGAGGAAGACCGCGAATACCTCCCACGGTTAGCCTGACGGCAAGAGGACTCAAACCCATGATCCGTCTACTATTGAGGATATTTTACGTCAGCACTGTGGTGGATGCAAGCCGGATGCGGAATTCGTATCGATCAGCTATTGTCGGGATCGAACCCCGGTTCACTTCATTGAAAGGCGAACGAGTGATTGTGTGAATTTAACCCGCCCTCTAAACGGATTTGTGGTTGTATGACGTGGGTGACGATACTTCAGCGCCGTGGCTTTGCCACAAGTGCCTATTTTGTAACGATAAGAGAGTAGCAATTATGGCCTTTCTGAGGCCAATGGGAAATAGATCCAAGAGCTCACGATTAAAAAAAATGTATTTGCTTAAAACAGAGGTTTCACAACATTTTAGCCTAAGAGCCTCACTTCTTCACCAAGATACAAGCATAGACAACAAAACCATCTATCTATTAATCGTAATGAATAATTATAAATAATTTTCAATATAAAATAACTAATTGAATCGATAGTATTTGAGAAAGCAATTCATCTCAAAAAGTAGCCTAGCAAGTATAATGGTAAATTATCCTTGATTTGCTGTGCTCGGATTAACCTTAGGAGCTGTAATGTTACATTCCTGGTGGAATCAGAAAAGTTTGCTTAACCCCTTCCTTCTCGCTCCCGTGAAAATGACGAGGTGAGGTTTCGTCCTCTATTTCTCCCTCCCGTGAAATTTCCGGACTGGAGTGTTCAGTAGTAACGCGCCAATAAAAATAAAATAATTCATTTCTTTTGCCCAGAAAACATTTTATTTCTCATTTTACGCACCAGATGGCAGTACCTGGATATTTTTAAGGTAATTGTAGATAGTTAGTTTATTTTGAACTAGATGTCAGCACTAATCAAATACGTGTATTTGGCAAAATAGGCACTTTTATGATTACTTGAAAATTAACCGATCGTTAAGTGGTTGAGACTTGTAGTGGCGAGGTTGGGATAATCATCTACTAGTAGGGTAGCCAGCACATGCATAATTTCTCTCTTCAGATTACTACTAAGAACGATTCCTTAACTGTCGTTCGGCTAATGAAAATAATTTTAAAACATCCTCCACTCAGAACAGGATGATTCATAGGTAAGTTTCCAGATGAATAACTGTCAACTTGCAAAAATTCGTGTATTTTAAGTGTACTTGACTATTTATATTGAATAGCCGACCGGTCTGTGAAGGGGTTAGGGAACTGGCCTTGCGGCAGAAAAGTTCTGGGTTCGAATCCCGAGCTTGGCCAGGATGTTCTTTCCTCATCTATCCTTACTGTGGAGCAACGTTGGCCCACTTAATATGATGCTCCTGAAAGAGTAGCCAACAAATCTGTCCAGTAAATGCCTCAATTGACGAAATATTAACACAAGTGGGCATTGGAAAAAAAAGTATATTCAATAAAATTTTATTTTTACAATTTTAATCATCAATAATATCCTTGCCAATTACATATTTAATATAATTTAAACAATTATATCTTTAATACTTTTTCTCAATATATTAATACAAGTATGTCAAAATTTAAGCTAGACCTTTCTATTATTGAATTTATAAATTTATTTCGCTATGAGTTTGACCACCATTGCACATAAGTGCATAAAATAAATGTATAAATGCATCCAAATCGTATGATGGTGTGTTAAGTTCTGTCACAATTAAAAAAATTTAATTAATAATGAAATAAACTGCCTAGAATTGTAATTTGATCGAAAATCACCATCAAAGAGAATGAAAGTAGGTACAGGATTCCTTTGAAACTAGTGGTGATAAATGTACTAGTAGCTAGTTATAAATTTACTAATGTACTAGTAGCAATTTCATATTACAAGACATAATTTTAAAAATTGGAGATTCAATATATATTACTCCTGGACGCAGATGAACTAAAATACTATTGTTTGTTACCTAAAGTAAAAAACCTCGAAAACACCATAGTTGTTTTGGAATGGAATTTTATTTTAAACTTTTTAATAGATACTGAATTGTAATTTGATCGAAAATCACCATCAAAGAGAATGAAAGTAGGTACAGGATTCCTTTGAAACTAGTGGTGATAAATGTACTAGAAGCTAGTTATGAATTTACTAGTATACTAGTAGCAATTTCATATTACAAGACATCATTTTAAAAATTGGAGATTCAATATATATTCCTCCTGGAAGCAAATGAACTAAAATACTATTGTTTGTTACCTAAAGTAAAAAACCGCGAGAACATCATAGTTGTTTTGGAATGGAATTTTATTTTAAACTTTTTTATGGATACTACATGCAAATCATACCTCAAAAAAGCTTTGTGAAAAACACTTATATACAACGTTTTTCCTTTTTTCATTAATATTTTTCGTAGTGCTCGCTCACAATTATAAACATGTATTATTTCTCAAAAATAACTATCGAAAAAAAATATTGCCAGAGTTTCGTAAATTTATTTATATTTTACAACCGGTGTAGACCAGCCGACCCAATTCTGAGTTTACGATTA